CTGGGAGCCCGGACTCCTGGGTTCTCTCCCCAGCTCAGGGAGGGGAGCGGGGTTGGTGGTCGGAGCAGGGGGCTGGGAGCCCGGACTCCTGGGTTCTCTCCCTGGCTCAGGGAGGGGAGCGGGGCTGGTGGTCAGAGCAGGGGGCTGGGAGCCAGGACTCCGGGGTTCTCTCCCTCTCCCCCTGGCAGGGGCGGTGTGGCTGGCCAGCGCCCGAGGGGGCTGGGGCTCACCTGGAAGGAGACGCAGCCCACGGGCAGGTGGCGGGAGTCCTCCAGCATGCTCAGGTACTCGGCCACCAGCGCGGCCGCGTGCACCAGGCACTGCGCCGCCTCGGCGTGGTTCCCCTGCGACGAGTGCTTGGCCGCCATGTTCTGCAGCCACGTCAGCCGCAGGTCCGGGGAGTTCTGGTAGCCCTTGGCGATCCTGGGAGAGAGACGGGCTGGGAGCCAGGACGCCTGGGTTCTCTCCCCAGTCCGGGGGGGCTGGGAGCCAGGACGCCTGGGTTCTCTCCCCGGTCCTGAGAGGGGAGGTGGGGTCTAGTGGGTTAGAGTGGCGGGGGCAGGGCTGGGAGCCAGGACGCCTGGGTTCTCTCCCCAGTCCTGAGAGGGGGCGTCTGGGGGGGGGCTGGGAGCCAGGACTCAGTCCGTTAGCTTGTGGCAAGTCTCCCCTCTCTGCTCCTCAGCCCCCGACTTCTCTAGCGGGAGGGGCCACTTCCAGGGAGTTGGGGGGGGGGGGGCTGTATTCCTGCGTGGAGGGGGATGGGCACCGGGTGAGGGCAGGACCATGCACCTGGCTGGGGGGCGGAGAGGGCTTGGGGGAGGACACTGGAGGAGGAGGATGGGGGACATGGCTGGGCAGGGGGCGTGGGCGTGATGTGGCCGGGGGCGTGGCCATGGCTGGGCGGGGGCGTGGGCGTGATGTGGCCGGGGGCGTGGCCATGGCCGGGCAGGGGGCGTGGCCAGGGCTCTCACCTGTACATCAGGTCAATCAGCATCTCTGGATCCTCCTGATGCTCCTTCATCTTGACCGTGTCGGTGAGGATCATGTGCAGGTTGAAGACGAGGTCCTGCACCTGGGGAGGCAGCGGGCTCAGACTCCCACCTCCCTGCCCATCACCCCACACGGCCCCCGCCTGCTACGGGGGGCCCTTGGCCAGGCCAGCCCCAGGCTGTAGAGAGATCCTCTTCCCCACTCCCCCGGCTGCCTTGGGGACAGGCCCCGCTCAGTGCCCACTCAGCTACAGGAATGGGGGCGCCAGGCTGGGGCCTGTCAAGCAGGGCAGGTCCCCCCCGTACCTGCTCAGCGAAGCTGCTGTCCCGCAGCCCGGCGTCCTCCTCGGCGTAGCTCAGGATGGTTTTCAGCGAGCGCCGCAGATGCTCCTCGTTGAAGTTGGACGAGGTCCCGACGAGCGAGGACAGAGACATGGTCACCTGCATCTTCACCCGGGCAAAGTTCTGCGGGGGACAGGGGGAGGCTGAGCCGAGGAACCCGCAGCGCCCCCTGCTGTTTGGGCGCAGCGCGTCTGGCCTGGGGGTGAGGGCAGGGGAGGCCCAGACAGCCCCTGGGATCCCGCTGGCTGCGCCCGAGTCCCCTGGCGGCCTGGCCCAGGGAGCAGGGGCGATCCCCGGAGTCTCCAACAAACCGCCCCCATCGTCCACCTGCAAAGGAGCCGGCGGCGGGGCCCATCCGACTGCTGCGCTCCACCCCAGAGACAGCCGCATGGCAGCGGGGGGGCAGGGCTGCACTCACGTGGCCGATCTCGAAGTTCTGGCGCATGAGCAGGTAGAGGGAGGCGCTGGCGTGGGCGCGGATGGCAGCCACGCGGCTGCTGCAGTGCCGTAGGAGCCGCAGACACAGGTCGGCGCAGAGCTCCGTGTCCTCCTCGAACAGCATCTCCGGGAACTGCGCCACGGGGAGAGGGGTTAGAGCCACCGGGGGGCTGCGCCCTGGACGCCTGGGGTCTCGCCCGGCGCTGGCAGGGAGCGGGGGGCGCTGGGAGCCAGGATACCTGGGTTCTTGCCTGGCACTGGCAGGGAGCGGGGTCCAGTGGCTGGAATGTGGGGGGCACTGGGAACCACGACGCCTGGGTTCTCGCCCGGCACTGGCAGGGGGCGCTGGGAGCCAGGACTCCTGGGGTCTCGCCCGGCACTGGCAGGGAGTGGGGTCCAGGGGCTGGAGCAGGGGGCGCTGGGAGCCAGGACGCCTGGGTTCTCGCC